TGGCAGGATTTTTTCTTGGAACTGATTGATTAGTGAGAAGTCCTAGAGGACGGAAACGAAATGGGCATGCTACGAAAAACTTATGCTTGGCATTGTATGAGCCAATTACGCATTCAAATGTCTTGATTTTTTCAATGACAGCCGATTGCATGGCGTAAATTTAAGAGGATAGCCTCAAATCGGAAAGCTATCCCCTTTTTTATTCATTTAATTCCATAATAACGGTGTAAGTGGAGTAACGGTAAGTGACACAGTATCACGCACACTTGGTTTCGGGATCAAATCTGGAACAATATCGGTCCAGACCAACCAAACCTTCTAAGCTTTGTCCTTCAAAGTTTTATTCACTTACAGCCCACTTGTACTGATGTATTTACTACTACTCATACAATCAATTATCGAATTCCATAATTATTATTTAAAAGTACATTTCAGATGTTCTTTCTATATGCAATTCACGTGCACGTTTACCTCATTTTGGTTTTTCTTCTCTTCTTTACTGGAAACCTACTGTGTAGGCGATTTTCAGAGTAAGTTTTGCTATACTTATTACGAGAGCTGAATCTACATTTTAATTTCGTCTTCTTTTTCAATTCATCTGTATTCAACGATTAAACACAGATGTCAGGCACAAGGCCTGAGCTTTGTGTTCCGAAATAAGCTGAACGCGGTAATGTACACGGCTTTGGAACTCCTGGGAAGAACAAGACTCGGGTTATGTTTGACCAATCTTCCAAAAGGCTCAAAATGAAACTCTGACGCAACGACCCCAAAAAGAGCGATGTGTAAGAGATGAAAGGAGTAGGCAAGTCAAATGAGCAAGAAGACCGCAAGTTTGCCAATCAAACAAATGGATAACTGCTTCGGAATATTGTAATAAATGAACAGAGCATAAATGAGAGGTCAGCAGCGAGCCTTAGCATCAGATTTGATTTATTTTGTTGAATAATTCGAGAGAAAGCACTTCTTTGCGAATACAATCATAAAACTGTCAGTTCATTGTTAGTTTGTGAGGATAGAAGCTACCGAAAAATGCACAATCCTTCTCGGGATTATCCGAAATCTCCCACTGGGTTTCTAGGTGGCGACACTTCTCACGCATGTACTCATAACATATCCGGCAACATCTTCTTTGCCATACAACGGCCAAATTGTCTATCCATATTCAGCACGCAGTTCTTACGAATCAGAAACCGGCACTCCGCTGCTGGAACATTAGAATTTGAGTCAGGCATTTGGCCTTGGAGCCTCTTCCAGGCGGTTCTGCCGCCACAACTCATTCCAACGCTTCACATAGCCTCGAACAAACGGGTCGAAGATGAACCTCAATTTCGTTAACCGATCACGTCATCATAAAATCTGATGTGTAATGCTCATACAATGAGTAGCTTCGTCCCAGTGGTTCTATAGAAGCTTCTAGAAAATCAAAGAAGTCTGGCTGTTGTGAAATTTACGGCATTCTTTTCCGCAGAGTAAACCAGAGTTGAGGTCGTTTCATTTTTTTGATCGAAATCTCTCCCGGTCTTCTTCTTCTTACTGCGTTGACCATTTTAAGTCCTCTTTGTCAGGATAGAGAAGAACCCCAAATACAGTACAAATACGGTGGGAGCGTTGAGAATAAGTTTTGAGGAAAGAGCCCTTGAAAGTTCTCCTACGAAAGCGAAGAAATCGCTCTTAATAGCAGAGTAAATGGCAGAATTTTTTTTATAAAAAAAAAGAATCAACCATTCATTGTACATCATGAGAATTTTTGTTGACAATTTTTGTTTACAGTAATTAAAATATTATGGAAATAAGAGATCAACTTAGTAAATTAACTAATTCCCTAAATCAGGAACCTTTGGGCAGAATAGAAGGCCGTTTTGTTTTCAGACACGAATCATGAGGAAGAAGTAAACGAGGGTGTCTGCTATGGATTGAAGTATCGAACGATTGGAATGGGTGAATCGTGTGTGGATTTCCTTGGTCCGCTTCAGATGTCGTTTCTCACAAAAATCGGATGGGAAGCTAAGGTATGGGTTGTTGTCTGGGGTACTAAAGAATGGCTTCGGGATTTTCTCTCGAAAAGATCTCTTGCGCTCTTCCTCTGCTCGTCACCCTGACGCTCATGCTATGTTCATAAATAGTAAACTATTCGTTGCAGGACCGCGATTCGATACGATTTTTCATCACTGCGTCACTGTCGATACTGTCTGGTATTCATTTATGTTGTACGACAGCTCTAACATTTTACAGTGCTACCGAAATCAAGTAAGTAGAACGACCCACCTGTCTGTTGAGAACCCGGGCAGAAAGCTCAAATGCGGTGCAGCTACCGCTTACACTCTTGACTTTTCTTTTGGAGGTGTCGAATCCCGGATTGTTTCCCCGTTTTACGTATTTTACCCTTCATTTTGGGCAGGACGTGTTGTAGCGAACTTGTTCGTGAATTCGCGAGAGTGGGAAGAGGGGATGGGTGGGGTGAGAGGAAACTGTGAATTCTTCTGTCGTGCATGGGTCCGTACGAATACTGTTCGTTTACTGGCACGAATCGTAGTCGAGTACGTGGCGTATTCGGGAAGGTTTGTCCAGTGCGGAGGCGCTTTGTCTCAATGGTGAAAGTCAGAAGAGAATCGTAGAGGAAACCTCTCTGCAAAATAGTTTACCTGTTGATAAAGTTACTTTTTCTTTTCAGAATTCGGCTCTACTCATATCATTATCAGTTAGCTATTGGTATATTAGTCGCATTTACGGGTATTTTCCATTTTAGGTAACGATTTAGTTTTTTTCCTTATTTACAATTTTCTGATACAAATTTGGTAATAACTCAGGTTTTGCTGCACGTTCTTCTTTCTTGGCCTTCCATTTGCTGTCGGAGTGTACTCAATGATTCAAGGTATTTTTTCAAATCTCATTTTGGACGATTTTTATGTGGACTTTATGACTATCCTTTTTATTTTGCTTGTCAAGAACTTCATATTACGAATCAACTGATTGGAACTGAGCAATCAAATAGAAAAAAAGGAGGAAGTTGAGGTGGAAACGCATAAAAAAGGAAGATTCTTTTGTCGTAAGAGAAGATCCGAACCGCAAAGCGATCGGCCGGCTGTTAGAAAGAAATCGTTTACGAGGAACCCAAGGAAGACTTGGCGATCAAGAAGGACCTTGACGAAACTAAGTTGACAGCAGAAGATGCCGTAAGCGACCCAGCGGTGGCGCGTGAATGGCGCCGTCTCGATGGAGAAGAATGTCCGCATAAGAACAACTGATTGAAAGGAGAAATCTAATGTGATTCTTTTTTATTACCTCTATAACAAAAGATAATCAATTACCTAAACAAGGTCTACCGAGCTTCAACAAGCACTAACCCTTTCCGTAGCAGGGTTAATCCTTCAAACTGCAGTATACTGTATGATAGTGCCCCATGAGGAAGGGTGTGAGATATAGTCAATTCCACCTAACCGCAAAAAATCTTAGTTTTTTACCATCTTCAGGTGTGGTGTCATGGCGGACAAAGTGTCATGGGTCAGTGTCTCGCGCAATGAATGTCGCTGGAGCTGCGTTGGCGCTTCTGATGCTTGCGGCAGCAGTTTTCGGAATTTTCTGCTGGTTTAATCGGTAAGTACGCATTTGTCATTGAAACCGTGTGGTCAGTCGTACTACAGGCAGCTATTCTACTAAGCGAATGGCGTACAAAATGCGGTAAGGTTGCCTCCGCCTTGTCCTCAATTGTGGGCCGAACTCCGGTTCGTTACTTGCTTAAGCCAGCCAAACCTTTCATCCCTCTTATTCAGTTGAATAGTACCAGAGTCGTCTGGGAGGATGAAAACAATGACTTGTAGGACGGGTAGCCACCAGAAGGCAGTACTCGCATTTGAATCGCCATTGCATTTCTGAATGGTAGTCAAATGCGGGGTGTATCCCAAAACGGTGTTAATGAATACCAAAGGATTGCTCTTCACTTCATAAGGCACAATGGGAAGGCCGGCTTATCTGGGAAGATATCGAGTCGGAATTCGATCCTCGGACATTGCGTACGACAGTGCACACTTGGCACTGCGCAACTTCCGCTAAAATCCAGTCAATAATGGGTAAACAAATATTGTGAAAAAGTGTTTTAGAAACAATACACCACATTCAATCACACGCCACTGCCATTGGTTACCGAAAACAGAAGATTATTGTCTAAGGGTGATATATTTTTCACATCCCTATATCGATTGGTCACCAATTGAGACAGAACGTGAAATTGCGGTCATCCAGGTAAGATCATTACGGATTCCAGATGTTACCGTAACATGCATATTACAGATAATCATCTACATATTCCTGTTTGCATTCTCGTTTCTTCAATTCGCATTTTCAATGAAATCCGCATTTACGACTAAATTGATTCAATTGTATTATTAGGTAATAAAAATTTTATTGATTGTATGCATGTTAAATCAACACATGGAGCAGTGGGTAAAGCGGGTGTGCTGGTCGAAAATTTAAGCGATAGTGTGCTAGCATACTCCTCCTGCTTCGAGAGCATTATTACGTACCCGTGAGGACGGCTATTCGACCTTCTCTTAGTCCCAGTGTCTAGGGTTAAAGACGAAGGGGAGTTCCTGATCCCCATTCTTCCAACCACATTTTTACCACTCCGGTTTCTGTCGTTTAACACGCATATTCTGTTCTACATTTCTTTTGTTCCAGATATGCGAAGACGCGAGGAAAATTTTGTTAAAAAAAATATGGAAAAGGGTTCTGCGAAGCATTAAAGCCACATTGAAGAGAGATAGTTAACAATTAACGATACATGAAAGATTACTTTGCGAAGGCATGTGGTTACTGTATCTGAAATTGATCCAAAACTTCCGAAAAACTCCCGAAAATAAACTGTCGTTTAGGGCATTTCCAAATAAGTTACACTTTGATTGCACGAGTGCCATAACGGCGTATCGTCGCTGTTCCCTTGATCAAGGAAGAGCTACGAATTCCAAATGAAGTTTAATAGAGATTCAGGTATATGTGCCGACTCTAAGATGTTAAGGGCAGCGGAACTTGAAGCCGTGAAGTGAGACTTCCAGATAGGCTGAGGAGTGAGTGACTTATAAGTTAGTATGGCTAGGCAGTAATGGAATCAGTAATATAATCGGGTTTAATTCCTTCGAACCTGAAAGAGCCCATCTCAAACATTTTGGGTATGACTATCCTGGAATGACTACTAAAATCTCAGCATACAGTCTTCTCAAAAGAAAGTGGATCAAATTGCCGATTTTTTCGATGCACTCTTGCTTGCATCGAAAGTGTGTACCGAAATGTTCGAGGATACAAGCTGGGAAGACCAAACACGGCTTCAAGAGACTGACCGAGGACAGTAAGTACAACGTCTTTTATTGAAGTTGGAATCGGATTGGTCGGTGGTGATCACTGTCGTTCCTTGATATTCAGGTGGTGGCTGATGGCATTAATGGGAGCAATTTGGGACAATACCAGAAGAACGAAACACCAAATGTGTAAAGGTGCACGTATGCGCACTCTCCCGGATAATTGAGAGGCTCTTCGAGGATTTTTAGTTTACTCGTTGAACTTTTCTCTACGTGCCAGCAGCTTTTCTTCATACTGATGACTTAGGTCGTAGCATCTTCAATCCTGAACAATTCGCTACTGATAGGTATTCCTGCCCAGATTACATAACCACAGCAATTGCAGGGATCAATAACTATTGCCTAGACCCCGTCTCTCAGTCACTCGTGCGAATTTCATCGATTAGGCCTGCCGTTTGTCATCGTTCATGGTTCAATCGGTGCTGGCAGGAATCCCACATTCCTTCTGTCTTCCGCCCTGGTCTTCCCCACATGCCAGCTGAATCCATGGGAAGATAAGCCCAGAGTTACTTGGAATGCTCGTGGGCCCTTCGGGTGCAGAATGCTGTCGAGGGGGATCTGTTAATCGACCGATTTGACCACCTTGTCGATCGTGTCGCCATGGGTGGCTCGGAGCAAGTCGACTCGGTCGTCCGCTGACGAACTGCACGCACGATGGCGTGTTTTCGTTTTTTATTCTAAACTTAGACTTCTTTTTCCATATTTTCCATATTCAAGCTTTTCCCCTCGGATGTCGAAAGAAATGAAAGCTCTAGAGAACGTCTTTGCATATTTTCTCATGTTTTCCTCTCCATCGACTCTCTTACTCTTCATTTCCACTTACAAGTTTTTTAATGGATTCGTTTACTAATGGAAATGCTCATCGCTTATAGATCGGGTTTTCTCTTTGCATATAGGCTTTCGTCTTGGTCTACTGTTCTTCCTAAGTTTGTTTCAGGAAAGTATCATTAGGAGAGACGGCGCTCTCGCAGCTGAAGAGCAAAACTCCTCTCGAGTCGGAAAGGGGAAGAACCTCGAAGATGTGAGTATTCTATGAGCTTTCAAGGCCCGTAAATTTGTCCCAAGGTCGTGAAGAACATGGACTGTTTAATTTAAATAGTCGCTTATGCCAAATGTGCACTCACTTCAACGCCACTACATTTCTGGGTATAGCACGAATGCATGGCGTTATCTGAAATGGGTTTGATCTTAGCTGACATTTTTTAAGAGCTTAGAGCTTGCAAGAAAAAGGGTGAAACCTTCGGAATTCGACTCTTAGTTCTCTGAAAGATGTGCATCTGTGACGGCGGCCTCGCTTAACTCCCACTGGTGAATTGTGATACCCTCCTAGAGGAAAAAACCGAGAAAAGCTAAAGGAACTCTCGAGAAAAGCTCCTCTAACAGTAAGCATGGCAGTAAACAAAACAAATCAGATAAGAGTTCCTAGATGCTTATTTGAGGAACCCTTTCTTACTTATTCCGATCATGCTTTGTTTTTTGTAGACCCTTCAGTGTAATGAGAACTTGACCACTCCTTCAGAACTGAAAGGGTTGAAAAACAAATGTCCAACTTGAGATCGGTTTAGAAACTCTCTTAGAAAAATACCACGTGTATTGAAACTTACCAACTTTCCACTCATGCTTGATCTTCATCTTCTCTGTTCATGTACTACGGTAGCCCCTATTGGTCTACCATCGATACGGTCCGCCCGTCAGTTTGTCGCCCCAGTTCACGCTACTAGCCTTCTGTGAATTGAATTCGCAGTTTTTCATCCTCGTAACAGGGATAAAGATGATCGCAGTCAATCCCAAATGTTCCCTGAGAGGGTCCGAAGATAAGGAGTGCATCGAAATCTCATTTTCAACTATATCTTTTGCATACCTGAAGAAAGCCGTCGATACTGACTGCAACTGTGAATTTCGGGTGGTTGTTAGCCGGCCTTCAAAGGGTGTGTTGAGGGATTCATGCATAGCTCCATTACATACCCAGAGATATTATCGGATGATTTTGTATACGGTGAAGTATGTAATGTCGTCTCGGCGCTTCTGATGGCGACTACTTTCCCCATTGGTTTAGGTAGGTCTAACGCTACATCTCTAAATCGAAGTCTAAGTTCTGAAAAAGTTCTCACCTCCTTATATACCGTGCTGTTTATCCATGTCCAGACCGAGCCATTGATAAAGGTGAACATAAACAAGGTTTGAGCTTAAAGTGAACAATGGTACATTACTATTTTCTAGCCGTCATTGTGTAAGTCAACCTAATGTTTATTGATCACCATATTGATCGCCTTGTCGGCCTACAGGATGTACATAGCGGACGTCTGATTGCCTACCCCAAAAATAAGGTCTATAGCCCGGCTTCTTATCTGTTGGCTCGACCAGGTGTTTCAAATATCTTCAAATATCATCAAGAACAAGTCCGCCTCGGTACTGGCAGGCAAAATTGGAACCTCTCTTGAATGTCTGAACGAGCGAATTGTACTTACGATGAAATCATGTTGTCAGGGTTCGGTTACCTTACCCTCTCGGCTCCTCAATATTCCCTCAGAAGTCCTCTACGGTGGGTGTATTCCATTGACGAAAGTGCAATCGGATTGTGAAAGGTATCACTGATGCCCCGAAGGTCAAAGTTCAGAGTGCAGGCGAACCGAACCCAGCCTATCGATTTCTAGATTTCTTTAATAAGTCCCTTCCGTGTTCGCCTTTTTCCGAAAAAATCACTGCTCAGGGAGTTCCGTTAAGGAACCAGTCTGCGAGCCTCCATTTTGGAGAATCAAACTTCACACGCAGTGATTTCTTGAGACATCATTACAACCATAAGGCGGGCTTTGCATGACAACCAAGAAATCTACCCACCCAGACCAGATTTCGCTCAAAGAAATGTTGTACTGTTCTAAAGTTCCTCAGCGCTTCCTCTTCACAGGTCATGAAACCACTAGTACTCGCAACTATTCCTACTCATGAAGGACAATGGATGAGTTCTTTTGACGTCGATCACACAACGACTCCGAAGGGATAGGTTGGTCTGGGCGGAGGTCATCTGAGGCTATTTTTCTTGGATGCATAATGGTTTAGACGAAAAATTTGCACTTGTACTTGGATTATGTGAATCTGGAGCTGCTTTTCTGAATCTCAGCCTAAGTAACATGGGGGCAGAAAATCGCTCCTACTCACCTATACAATGCTACTTATGTATTTCCGGATCAACCCCTTCATCGAGGCGAATATAAGCAAGGGTTGAGCTTGGAGTGAACAATGGAAGATTTCTCTTTCATAGTTCTCAGACACCAAGGACTCAAGGTCTCGGCATTTTTATATAAGCCTAAAAAGAGAAGGACCTAGAGGGTGCACAATCATTGAAGCAAAATGGAAAAGTATAAATGATAAGTGGGATTCGATTTCTACGAGAGCCCGCAGGTGAGGACGCGAAAAGAAAGAGGACCATCTTCATACATCCATCTAATCATTGCTCATGATTTCAAGGTCGCTGGTGGGCAACAAAAGTGAGATACGAGCAGAAACGCCTCAGTGAAAATCAAACTTCAAATTTCCTAAGATCCAATAATGCAAGTTGTTGCAAAGGCCACATACGCATTCGATTGGCACGAAAGCTCATTCCTTCTGTACTACACCCTACTACTGTCCAGGCTAGGCCTGGACAACCAGCAGGGTTCCAAGCAATAGACTGAACCCTCTCGCTAGCAGTTGAGCTTATATCTGATGAATAGACTTGGAAATGCCTTCATCAGTCAACGCAGCACCTGAATTGGTTCTAAATCGGTGATTAATTGAGGATTTTCTCCACTCCTAGTATGAGCTCCTCCCGTCATGAACTCGAATGCTGGCATGGTTAAGTTTGCACTCTGGTATTTGGCTCATCAGGGGTGGCCATCATCCCATGGTAAGCCAGAAATCGATCAAGTGCAAAATTCAATATGCCACCGGGGCATTCCAGAGTGAATTAAATACCAGAGTCCAAAGTTCAATGTGCATGTGAACACCCCCCGTTCGATGCTCGGTTTCCATTGATCGTCTTCTGCCATCCTCTCTTCCCTA